ACAGATTTTTCTTTCTTGGGCTCCATGATCACTGCAGATGGAGACAGCAGCCACGAAATTAAAAGACGCCTGCTTCTTGGGAGGAAAGCGATGACAGCATCTTAAAAAGCAGAGACATCACCTTGCCAACAAAAGTCCGAATAGTCAAAGCTATGGTTTTTCCTGTTGTGATGTATGGAAGTGAGAGCTGGATCATAAAAAAAGCTGGCCGCCGAAGAATTGATGCCTTTGAATTGTGGTGCTGGAGGAGGCTCTTGAGAGTCCCCTGGACTGCAAGGAGAACAAACCTATCCATTCTAAAGGAAATCAACCCTGAGCAGATGCTGAAGCTGAGGCTCCAGTACTTTGGCCATCTCATGAGAAGAGAAGACTCCTTGGAAAAGACCTTGATGCTGGGAAAGTGTGAAGGCAAGAGGAGAAAGGGGCGACAAAGGATGAGATGGCTGGACAGTGTCATCGAAACAACCAACATGAATTTGACACAACTATGGGAGGCAGTGGAAGATAGGAGGGCCTGGCGTGCTCTGGTCCATGGGGTCACAAAGAGTCAGACGTGACTAAATGACTAGATGACGAGAGATGGGCATGAATTAGAAAAATAGTGATTCATTTTTATTCCTGATTCGTCAAGGTCGACGAATTATGAATTTATGATTTTTTTCTGTTGAATTGATGAATTGATTGTCAATTCATTTTTTACTTTACAATTATATAAAAGGGCCCCCAAAGCACTTAGAGTTACTGAATTTGCAGGGAAGCTTTCCCTGATTCTCCTCTACAAGCTCTGCAAGTTTGATGAAGATTGGGTTTCAGACATCCATGTTGTACACCCACAAAGTGGATCCACCCAGGAAAGTTCTCTTCAGCAACTGGCTTGAGGATATCCAATCTTCTCCAAACTTGGAGGGGTTGTAGAGGGGAATCATGGGAAGCTTCCCTTCAATTTTGGTGCCTTGGCTTCCATTTTATAGTCAAATGAATCAATGAATCAAAAATCACTAAAAATTCATAGATTTATATTCATTGGGGTCATTGGTTTGTACAAATATGAATCAACAAATTAGCACTAGCTACTTATTGGTCATATCAGTGCCATCTTCTGGTGCTTATCTGAATTCTTGATTATCTGTATGTTATGGCATATTTTTGTACATCCTGTGCCACTAAAAGTGGCTATGGTTTAAAGACTAGTGTGGTCATTGGTTTGTACAAATATGAATCAACAAATTAGCAATTTTTGAACACATTATTCATTTTAAAATTCATTCCCATCTCTATTCAGGAGGTGTCCCAAGCACCTAACTAAACTACAAATCCCAGGTTTCCTTAAAATGGAGCAATGACAATTAAAGTCGTATCAAAGTGGTATGGTTGGGTAGTGCAGGTGCAGTCTTTAGTTTTGGTTGTCTAAATTCCTGAGCTAGCTACTTATTGATCATATCAGTGTCATCTTCTGGTGCTTATCTGAATTCATGATTATCTGTATGTTATGGCATACTTTTGTACATCCTGTGCCAGTAAAAGTGGCTATGGTTTAAAGACTAGTGTGTTGTGGTGGCTGTGAGGCTGAGCTGTGAATCAAGAACCTACTAGTTTTCTGACTTCATTTTTTTCCCTTTCATGAATGACTTATGACACCTTAAGCAAATTAATGTATCCTCATTCCCCTATCTGTAAAAAGGAGTAACAGTATTAATTTATGAGGCAGTGTAGCTGTATAGACTGCTGCAAAAATACATGTGAAATACTTATCAATATTTTTGGTGTTAATATTAGTGAATTTTTTGGGTCTAAGAGTCACAGTGGGCAACTTCGAAGGACCTGGAGGCCAGTTTTCCATCTACATGACCCACCCAGGATGCTGCACCAGCTTTCCAAATGAAAAGAAGTAGGAAAAGCCAAATGTGAGTTGCAAGGCTATACACTTCCAGAGCAGAAGCTAATTCTTTCTTTTTCCCAAGAGAAGCACATGCTAGTGCTTCCAAAGCAGCTTTGACTGCGTGACACATATTGACAGTGCATTACTTTGCCCACCCCTGAAAAAAACACCGTACATTAGGACAGGATTAGACACAAAGTACATTGATATTTACTGGAGCATCTCTGGATGCATTGGAAGGGTAGAAGTACAAATGATCCCTTCATTTGACACTGTACTTATCCCTTATTTTCGTTTCCTTTTAACAAATTCTCAAATGGCTAGGCTATTATTTAAAGTTGATAAAGGTAACTGACCAAAATGCACTGCCTATATGTAGGACTGTAGGGGCAAGAATAGAGGTGAAAGGAGAGGAGCATAGAAACGTGGATAGTCTCTGCCTGGGAAACAGTGGCCATCAGATCTGCCAGAAAGTGGTGATACCAAGTCCCTTACCATAACCATGAAAAAGCTCTGCCCAATGACTTCTGGTGCCTGTTAATGGCCACAAGTTTTCCACATTTTCCAGTGAAAATGTAAAGACTAGATTATTTGTTTCAAAGACTTTTAAATTCTTTTTATTGTTATTATTACTAAAAACTACACAAGTCTCTTAAGGATGGCATACTCTCTTTTATTGGGTTCCTGCAAATTTCAGAAATCATTGAAATATCCTTTGTAGATAATGGCTCATTGGTTCAGAAGTGCCCCTGAAGAAGAAGGTCTGAAATGTGTTGGACCTGAAATATATATTCCTCCTTTCCCTCCTTTCCTTTTGCCACTCTTTCTGCTCTTTTTCCAAGATTGCAAAAAAAAAAATAAAAAAAAAAATGCTGAATGCAGTCTTGTTGCATTGGGTATCCTCAGACTTAGAAGACTTCTGTTTTGAACGGATGCTGTTTTTCCTTATTGTGTCAGCATAGGCCCAACTCACTTTTTCTTCCTTTTTCTTCCTCCCCAACCCCTTTTTAGAGTCCTTGAAGACAGCCATATGGAATAGTATGGCAGAAGTTGCTTTGAGAGATGGGAAGTGCTAAGGAGCCAGAGACATCTCAGTTGCTGAAACAAGAAGCCATTCCAGAAGATGCATTGCATCCTAGCCATCTGGAGAAAGACAGCTGCCACCAGAAGATCCGGTGCGATGGAGGAGATCTTACCATGAGGAATTGCTGTATAAATGATCACAGCAGCAAAGAGAACCGTGAAGAAGACACTGGGGCAGACAACCCAAACCACAAGGAGAAGGCTTCACCGTCTTCTGTGGGTCTAGTTGCTGCCAGAGACACCATAGCTCTTAAAGATTCAACTGATGGAAAAATCCTGTTGGATGGGGAAGGAGAAAAAAATACCAGTCACGATTTGTGCCACAGCAGCAAACAGGGCCCAAGCCTGATGGAGCATCCTGGCAGTCCAACTAATGCTTGCAACTCTTTGGAAAGGAAAGGAAGCCCTGCTGCTATGGAGGACAGCACGCATCTCCCATCTGAGTCCTGCCTTAAGGGAGCTGGTAAGGACTTATCCACTGCAGCATCCTCCCTGAAACATGTTGCATTTCTCGAACCGGTCAAAAACAAAGCTGAGGCAGAAAGCGTCAGGGTGGGAACAGGACATTCTGACGTGGACCCAGCACTTCCCACATGCCTGGAGAACACAAGCCAAGAGCCATCTCACCATTGCACAGGAGAGACCTCTCACTTCAGCAGCACCAGCACCACCACCACCACCACCACCTGTGAATCAGTCGGGGAACTCTTAAGTAAAGGACACAGTGAGCCTCTCACATCAGAAGCTGTCAGGAAATCTGCTCTAGAATCTGTTGCAGCTGAAGCCATGCCAGGGAAGTTAGGTGAGCCTGTAGCAGAAAAGAGCCAATTGGATCAGAGTGGGGAAATAAAGTTTACTGCGCTGGAGACGAACATAGGTGGGGGTCCCAGTGGAGCAGCAGAGGTCTTAATCCCTGCTAGTCCTCAAGAAGTTCTACACCCGGGGGCATCAGGTGAGTCCCAGTCAACCCCGGGCGAAACAGCTGAGCAGACAGAAGGGCTTAAAAAAGTAGCACTCTCTAACACTAAGGGTCAAAATCCAGCTCAGGAACCACAGGATCCAAAAGCAGCCAGTGTGGCTACAGGTGAAGAGCACACGACAGGTGCACAGGGGCAGTCTGTGGAACTCTTTGCCAAGACTTGCTCCCTTGAGGTCACTCCTCCCCAGCATGACGCTGGGACCCAGGTTGACAACCGTGTCTCTGTGGTGTCAGTAGCCATCAGTCCCATCAACCCGCCGGATGGTTCCACAGCCTTCGCCTTCCACTCCCAGGGTTTGGGGGGCTCCTCTTTGAAGAGCCCTGGCCCAGAGCAGAAGCCAGCCAAGAAGGATGTGGAGATGCAAGTGTCCATCCCTGTGGAGACCAGGTCGGTGGCCACAGGGCCCATGACTCCTGTGACCAAATCGCCCCAAGCATCGTATCCTGAAGTGCACGTGAAAGGGGCACAGGAAGAGGCACCAGAGCCTGTCCGGGAGGTCAGCTGGGACGAGAAAGGGATGACGTGGGAAGTATACGGGGCCTCCATGGAGGTGGAGGTTCTGGGCATGGCCATTCAGAAGCACCTGGAGAAGCAGATTGAAGAGCATGGCCGACAGACGGTGATGACACCTCAGAGCACTCGTTCCAGCTCCATCAAGGGGGGACCTCAAAAGGGGGAGGTCAAGAGGCAGCCCAGCGTGTTCAGGGCCCTCCTACAGAACGTGCGGCGACCCCGCTGCTGCTCCCGGGGAGGGGCAGCCGTGGAGTGAAGCAGGCCCTCACCTCCTGTTAGGCTTTTTAGCCGTTGGTAGAAGTGAAAGCCAATGTTTTGTAGTTTCTCAGGCAACATGTGGGATGAGCCTTTTTTTTTATATAGTCTCTTGAAGCCCAAGTGTAGTGACACTTTTGTTTCCTGCACTTTAGAAGATACTGTGAAGTCTCCTGGAAAAAAAATGCAGGTCAAATACTTACCTTTGCAAGGGTGGCACAAACAGGGCCTTGCAACATTCTGCTGGATAGCAGTTGTCCCTGGGCAGAAGTATGGATGCCCCAGAAGGCAATGCTCACCCTTGGAGCCTGCCTTCTTGGGACATTCAAACGGTATCAAGCCAAAATTACACGCTCAATAGATAACACTCCTTCCTGTCAACCTGTCTGTTTTGCTGCAAACCATTTTAAGGATATATTTGTCATTTATAAGGAAACACTGAGGGTCAAATAAAGACCCCATTCTTCTTAAAGGAAGCTACCCAAGATGCAAGAGAGCTTGAGTTGGCGATCAGCTAGCAAGGAAGATTCATCTTCCTTATATAAATGTGTTAGGAATATACACATACCCAGGTGCCCAAGAGCTAAATGATATGTGGTGGTCACTATAGGTAAAGTAGTTGCCTGTGTGCATCCTGTAATGGATGCATTTACTTAACCCATAGACCGAGCTGCTTCATCAGAGCTTGGAAATATCCCCTTCTAAAACAATAACTCTGGGGATCTTCCAAATAGCATGGCTTGGGGATGGTTAAAATCCAAAAAAGGAACTTTTCCAAGTGGTGCATCTAGCACACAGTGGCTAGCATGGCTCACCAGGCCCCGAGTTGCTGTCATCCTCTAACTCTTCATGTGAACAGCTCCAATTGACGTTTCAGTCTTTTAATATAGGGTGGATGACCTGTAAAATACCTACACTGGCAAGGACCTTACTGGTAACCACATCTTCCCTGTGTTCTGGTACAAATTGAATAGGCAAGCCCTGACATCTTCTGAACTTCAGGAACATGCTGGCAACAGCTGGCCTTCATGTCATCTGTGTCATGTAGAAACCAAGCTTTGAACCCGAACTCTCAGGGTTCTCCCAAAATTTAATTTCCCCTAACTCTGTGTTGGAAGTAAATCTGACAGGCATTGTGTAGCTTCACCACCATTAAAAGCAAAAACTAAGCATGCCGTTTCCTAAACCAATTGTAAGATTATTTCCTTTTTCTGAAGGATATGGTGGATGTTTTAACTGTCATGACTGATATTGGACAAAGGCCTAAAAGCTGTCTCTGAAGACAAACTTCCAGTCCCTTTCCAACCATTTCACCCCCCCTTAAACTTCTATGTGCAACACTTGCCCCTGACACCCAGTCCACTGTGGTGCTGCTGGACACAGAGCTTGAAGAATGGATGGAAGGGGGGGGGAGGATTTTTGTTGTTCTTGTTGTTTTTGGACTACAACTCCCAGAATACTCCCACCAGCCTACCTGATAGCTTTGCTGGCTGGAGTATTTTGGGAGCTGTAGTTCAAAAAAGAGAGAAGTTTTCTGTTTCTAATCACTGAATGATGATTGTGAGCTGTGAGTTTACCCTCCCCTGAAGGCAGGATGAAAGATATTTAGCTGTCTTTTCCTTCTGTGCCTCTCACTGCTGGTCTGGCGTTTCCAGAGATGACTGTGAAGTCTGACTGAATGCAAAGCCAAGGAAACTAGACTGATGGCGGACAGCTCTTTGCATGTTGGCTGCATCAGCAGAGATAGCTTTTGAGGCTGGATAGGCGGAATGAAGCTGCTCATTTCATTCTCAAACCACAGGTGGTCATGCAGCTTAACCCTCTGACCAAGACATGATCAGTGGTTCTCTTACTTGCATTTAACCCAGCAAATGGGCAGTGTTATCCTCAGGCCATCAGCAGTTGCCCAGAGTGAATGTAGATGATGGAACTGACAGCATGTTGCCTTGGGTCTTGAGTGGATTGTTGCCAAAGGCTGCAGGTCAGAACTTTTTTTTACAAAATGAAGATTTTTATATCCCTTGGTACAGTTGGTAAAGAAACTGGTGACAGTTAAATTTCCCCACTATCCAGAAGTAACCATTAGCCTTTTTAGCACCATGCGGGGAAAAGTCTAAGTGGATCAGACCAAAAACCTACCTAGTCCAGCAAGCAGATGAGAACTTTGAAATTTTGTTGTTTATATTACAAGGTCTAGAATCTGCACCCTTGCCATGCTGACTGGGGTTTTTGGGGAGTTGCAGGACAAAAAAGCAAATATCCAAGCTCTAAGCCAGCCAGCCAGCTCCATAGAGCAGGGCAAGAAGACAGAACTCTGATTTTACTGGATGTCATCACCATTGGCCTGCAGGAGTCGGCTGTCCCTGTGATTTAAGCTTTTATGGTTAATCAGTTGATACAAAAAGGCCTCCATTAATTTGTCCCATTTGTTTTTAAATCCACATTGGCTCGTGGCCATCACTGTTTTGCACTGTTGCGAATTTTACCCAGTCTCACTTCTAGTGCTGCATGCTCCTGCTTGGGAGTGAGTCCCACTGAACTGAAGGGGAGTTACATTTGAGCAGATATGCACAGAATTACACTTCGTATAGAACTTGAGATGTTTATGTGCTGGAGCAGGCTTCATGAGATGAAAATTCTTACTCATGAAAGCACAATGCACTGTGTATCTTTACAGTGCCACCAGATCCACTACAACCAGATATCATATCTACACTGCTGGCATGCAGTCTTTGCAGTGTAACTTTTAAAAGTCAAGTCTTTTCAGACTGAGATTAGTAATTCTGCCTGTGTGGAATTTCCCATGGAGTCACTGTAGAACCTACAGATCTGTGTGGTTCAAAGTTTCTCTCCTTTATAGCTGTGAGGCATTGCAGAAAAAGCAAAAATTGAATCTGTACCCATTCCTTTCTGTTTTAATTATGTTCTCTCTTGCAATGCTAGTTCTCACCAATCACAGAACTAAGGCAATATGATGGTGGTGATCTCCACATGTATGTTTTGACTAAAGTCCGCAGAATCCCCAAGCTGGGTAATCAAGGCATTGTAGTCCCAACAAGTACATTTTCCAAGTTCTGAACAAGCAGCTGCCACTGCATTCCTCCAATTATGATGTCACCCTTTTATGTTCAGAAGCGTTCTTCCTCCCATTGTTGGCTTGTTGCCAGTAATATTCTGCACACTGGAAAATTCTGATACAGCGTATTTCAGGATAAAGCATCCCATGAAGCAACTTAAAACAAAATAAGCAAATCTGTACCATATTCAGATGCATCATTTTTGTTGTGTGTTCAAAATTTGACCTTTCTTGACTGTGGAAATGACTGTGTTGTGTTTGGGATAAAATAGAGCCAGTTTCAGGGTTAACTCAAGAGAAAGCGAGCTCTTCCTAGGGTGGAAGATACAGAAGACATATAAACCCTTTGTCCTTCTCCTGTATCCCAGTGTGCCTATTCAGGCCCAATGACCATCTCTACTGCACCTTTGAGAATCTGTCACCTAGATTTTGAACTTGCAATTCAATTTTGGGAAGGATTTTCGGAAGTGAGTTAGAATCATAAGATTTGATTAGTCGCATCCCAGTGGTGTCATCTTGGATGCATAGGCCAGAGTGCTGCTGCCACCCCACAACCAACTTGCCTGAGAAACTCATCATTTGGAAGGATCCATGTCTTGGGTGTGAGAGTGTGGGGCTTGATGCGTGCACCAGCTTGTGGGCATGTGTGTGTATGCGTGTGTGTGTGCGTGCATGCACACGTGTGCACATTCTTTACCTCTTTGCAGTCCATGCTCCCACCGTCCCGAGAGTAAGGAGGTCTGATGCCATCAGAAACTTTTTATGTTCCTTTTTTTTCATGGGGTCTGGGTGGGCAGGGATCTTTCACTTATATGTGTTGGAATATGGGGGCTTTTTAAAAACTATTTCTCTTTACTCTGTTGTGTTTCTTTTGAATCAGATTCTTGTTTCTTAGAAAGTGTCTTGAGGATGCTTTTTCCTTCTCTCTCACCTACCTCCGCTTCCCACCTGCTAATATTTTACACATTGGGATTTGGCACTTTGTGGAATTCTCCATAAAAATAGAAGGAAGGAGTGGATGGGGCAGAATAGTTGATACTGTGCGTAAAAGAAGAGTAGAGAATGGTTGCATTCTAAGCTTGGAAAGAGTGGTTTCTGGGCCACAACTTCCCATGCTAGCTGGGCAGTTCTGGAAGTTGCAGTGCAAAAAATTAGCTTCAGCAGCTTCTCTTTTGGGGGTGGGGAGTTATTTTTTCTCCAGAATAGCTGCACCAACCATACTTTTTCAAAAGAGCATCCAGTTGGCAAACACAGTGTGAAAAAAATTCATTCCTCTTGATAATGAACACCTTCCCATTTCTAGTACTATTCATATTTTTGCCAGAAAGGACCGTGTCAGTTTTATTTCACAGATCTCCCCAGCTACTTAAGAATTCTAGTTGTCAACATTTTTCTGTGACTGGGCTCCTGTTTCTTAGGGAGTTTCACGACAGGAAGAAATTCAACGGATTTCTCTTTTCCCAGTTTGAGGTGAGAAGGAATAGTGGTATGTTGTTCTGTATTTCCAACTGTTATGGGACACCTATCAGGGGGGAAAAAACTTGACAATTCTGTTTGAAATATGGGACTCTTTTTTTATACTAAGAAATTTGCACTTTAAAAAAAGTATGCCCCTTCAAAACCTCTGAAGACATTTGGCTGGTGCGTTTCCAGTTGTCTGTGTAACACTACAAGAGGAACAAATAAACAACTCTTCCTTTGCTCTCATTTAATTGGAAAGAAGCCCTGTTCCTTCTCCAGTATGGCCTTCTCAACAAGAGAGGCAGAAGGTTGTTCCCAAGATGCATGATGTTACTTGGTAATATCACAAAGTCCAAGTGACACATAAGTGGATTTAGAAGTAATCTCCTGAGCTAGACAGAGCAGTCAGTGGTGGAGTGGAGGCCAAAGGAACATTTGCGTAATCATCTTCCAGTGAAGATTGACCAGTGAACTAGCTAAAAAATTCTGATAGAGTGATGCTTGCAAGGCGGTGGGGCTTTTCCATCTAATGCCCTCCCATTCAACTGGGAAGGGCTTGCCTTAAAGCTGGATTGCCCCTGGACAGCAATGCTGTGGATAGAGCACTGAGGAACAGATTTGGGGAAAGGGAACATTTCTCCACTGTCAAGGAAGCAAAACATGGAACTGTTACTTTCTGATACTGCTGTTCTCAGAAGCCCGTAGTTGGGGGATTCTGGAAGATATTGCCCCGAACTACAGCATTTCCAAGTTCTGTAAGGAGTTACATATTTGGCTTCTCGAGAGATCTGTAAGTCTCGGTAGTAAGAGACTACAGAGATTGCACCTGCTTATTGCCTGTCTGCAGAAGAGACGGCTTGATCTGCTTTCTCTAAGGACCCTTCCTTCCCTTCAGGTGATAGTGTGTTAAGACTTTTGCTCTTGGCAGCTTGTGCTTATGGATGGCATCTAGGGTGCAAATGATCAGGCCAACCTGAGTACAAAGCAAAACACTCCCACAAATTTTTCCTGTGTAAACCTGCCTAATGATTAGTCTGTTTCTGGCAACCCACTAAAGCTGAACCAGGAGAGTTCTTCTTTGGGAATAAATAGACATAATGCAGGTAGAAGGATAGAGTGTTTGTTGCAGTCATATGGATATATGAGTTCTTAATAGGGCCCAGTTCTCATAGGTAGCTTTGCTGCTAGAAGAAGTGGAGCCAAACCTTAAGATTTCAGGTGCCTTCTGGATCAGAAAACATGGTAGCCTCCTTGCACCCCAAACCAGGATTTCCAGCACTGGCTTGGGTTTCAGGGAGACTTGTACAGTTCTGCAGACTTATGTTACAGGAGGTTCATCCTGTAATATGGACGAGAGGAGTAAAAAACGTCCCTTTAGAGATATGTCTGAGAATGTGAGGCATAGGGATCTGCCTCTATGTCTCCAACAAATGACAGCGTTGTTGGAAGGTAGAATACTGGGAGTGTTGCAGTTGTAAATCTGCATCCCAGTTACAGGGGAATCCCACAGAACTGCCAAAAACCTTTCCCCTTCTGATGCCCTGCCTTGTGTGCTGTTCTCAGTATGGTGTTCACGTGCCATATGGATCTATAGTACCAAGCAATGATGAGTTGTTAACAGTAACTTTGCCTTTTGGTTTCATCCCCCACTTTTCCTTCTTTATATCTTAGGCTATAAACTTGTAAACATGGCTGTTGGATAATAAAATTTTCTCCAAAAAAAGAGAGAAAGCACAACGTGTCCCTGGCCATTATTTGTTCATCAGGAGCTCAGAAGGAGAGGAGCATAGCTGGCTAGAGCTCAAAACAGGGGAGATTAGTCTTCAAAGCAAAACATGGGTAGGCTTACACATAGCTGTCTTCTGTGGATTCTGGAGGTAAGAAAGACCTGGACCCTTTTCCATGCTTGGGATTGTGGGCTCTTCGTTGTCAGAGGCACACATTTATAATCCAAAAGAGTAACTTTTCCCAGCGACACTTCATTATGTTGGTTTCCAGTGCTCCCCTTGTCCCATTGTGACCATCCACAGCCTAGGTTAGTCACTTTTTAAAATAACTTTCCCTTCAAAAATTTGAATCAGCCATTAACCACACCAGACCCAGTGGTTAAATAATGAAAAATGATCTTCTCTTTGTTACAAAGTAACACCAACTTGGTTCCCTATGACCAAGTGGATTGGATACGCTTCCCATCACATACTGTATATCATCACCTTTTGTGTTACTACTTCCAAAGATGTAACATCAACTTGGTTCCCTATGACCAAGTGGATTGGATATGCTTCCCATCACATACATCATCATCTTTTGCGTTCCTACTTCCAAAGATGAGATTCCATATTTTCTTGGAACATTTTTCAGCAGCTGTTCCAACAATTATAAAGAAAGCAATTTGATCCAATCTGATGTCTGCACTAAATTGACTTGACTGTAACTCCATCTCATTGTCCCTCATCCTCACTAAAAGGGTCAAAAGTATAATTTCAGCGTCTGTCTTTTATTGGAACATTTTTAGATGTTTAAAAGAGGATAGTAGCACATCTTGCCATCTGTTGAAATGTTCATAGATCGCAAAGATGGATTTCTGATACAGTCATGGCCAAAAGTATTGGCATCCTTGCAGTTCTGTCAGATTGCTACCAAATATTAAATTAAAGGTGCCAATAATTTTGGCCAGTGCATTTTTTGGTTTCTGTGTGGGATTGTATCAGATTTGACTTTTTCTCTCTCTGCTTGTGTTCCAATGCAAACCAAAGAAATGAACATGTGAGTACCAAAACATTTGCAACTGCAACAGTTTTCTGAGAGAAGGGTTGCATTTTTTGACAGAATTGCAAGGGTGCCAGTATTTTTGGCCATGACTATATATTGAATCATATATATAATGGAACTAGGTACATTATATATACAGTAATGTACCTAGTAATAGTTCTCAAGTAGGCAGGGCTTATCCCCAATTTTTCAATGAGGCGCTGCCCCTGCTCAGATTGGGGGCTGTCAGAGTTCCCAGGTATTCTTTAAACAAGGTGCTCAACCACTGCCCTTTCCCCCCAGCTGTAATCCTGTACTCATGAGCATGCTTCATTTACATAGTTCTCTGTAAACATAAGGAAGTACAGTAGACTGTCAAGCTACTAGAAGCAATGCTTCACCTTCCTTAATCTGGACGTTAGGTGTGTGTTAACCATATGACATTTAATCCCACCACCCACTCTAATTACTGGTGGCAAGGTGGCTAGAATGGGAAAAGCTAATGCAGAGCCCTTCCACTTTGAATATGTCACATGATGGAGAGCTTGGCCAAAACTATATTAATTTCTCAAATAGTTTCTTCAGAAAAACGATACAGTCTCTCTCTGGTGTTAAATAGATTCTTCAGTTAAAGTGTGCTAGGTGCTTCTGAAACTGTATGATAGAATTAAGAAAGCTAAATGAAAAATGGGAAAGAAGGATCTTTAGTCTACCAGATGTTTTGAACAACAGTTGTCACAATCCCTTACCGATTCTCATGCACAGATGGGAGTTGTGAGCCAAACACAAGAGGGAGGCATACAAAAAGTCCCTGCCTTTGCTCTGAAAGATGGTGGGTCCAATATATTCTATTATCCAAAGCAGACCAGATAACAGCACCCAGTCCCTCAGCCACATTGCACTGTACCCAAGAGCTTTCAAGTTATGTTGGCTTTCAGGACAAAATCCCACAAGCAAACCCCCAACCAGACAGTAAAAATACAATACCACTAATAAAGTAAATAGTGCAATAATTTGTTTTCCCTTTCATGAGATCCAAAATCACTGTTAATTCTTAAACTGGCAGAGAACACATTATGCAGCACTTAAACTTCAGATTATCTAAGTATATGCTATACCTTTAAGGAGATGGCTACATATCTGTTGTTGCAGCTAAACAATCCTGACTGCTCAGATTACAATAAAGGTATGCGCTGATATACCCCAACTTCACACTATATATCTTTGTATCTTGGAATAAACAAGTTCTGCATCCTGTAATTGCCTTCCACCAAAGAGACTAGATGGTGGGGAGACTGACATTTGGATGGGACACTCTCCCACATCAGAAGGGTGTTGAGAACAAACAGGGTTCCAGTGTCCATCAAGCAAAAAAAAAAAAAAAAAAAAAGGAGAGGCATGTTCGAGGTAGCAAGGGAGAAGAAGACATGCTTTCTCCATCCACCCTCCTAAACCTGAATCCACACTAAGATAAAGGGAACTAGTCTCTTTTTTTGTTAGTTTGGCCATTGGTAATGTTACTGTTTTTCACCAGTGACAAAATAGTGAAGTTCTCAGCCATAATTCCAGGATGGGGGCATAAGATTCTTTGTGGTGGTGCATCTTCCTTGCAACAATGAAGAGAAGTTACTGCAGGATGATATTTGATCCAGCCCAGAGCTTCCCTCTACAATGGTGCTCCTTTGTTGCAACCACATGTCAGAGGTACTGTAGGTAGCCACCATGGCAAGTCCACACAAACTGGTAACCACATGAACTGTATCTGAAGCAACTGGGTTCACAAAGACCAGGGATGAGGAAGATGTGGGCCTCCATATGTTGGGTGTGAAAGGCACATCAACCTCAGCTAGCATGGCCGATGGCAATTATGTTGCGAGCTGTCGTTCAACCACATCTGGAGGACCACCTCTTATAGAGGCTTTTTCTCTAGAATCCAAGAATAGACTTTTTTCCAAGCAGAGTTAACATGAAAACTTGGTTTATTATCCTAAGAAAGGAAAAGGCACAGTCATACTATATCAACTCGGATCGAGGCAAAAGCTTGAACTTGGATCAAAGATCTCACATGCAGAGGACGGAGCTGAATGCTTTGTTCAGGGTCACCAATGTTGATGGTGTCTGGAGAAGAGAGGTAACGCGCCCTGCCTTTGCCAGGTATGATACTGGCATTGGACTCAGCAGAGTTGTGCAGAGCAGATGCTGCATACAGATCAGTAGATTTATTCTGAAACCCCACATCCTGCCACATCTCCCATGGGAGGTGGCATTGTGCACTTAACCATTGGTTCACGTGGCAGAACTATTTCACTGACCCCATCAAGCTTAGTGCACATGGTCGGCCTTCATCTTGTGCAAAATAATTTCTTTCACTCGTTTCAACCAGACTTGTTTCTGTTCTGGATGTAGTTCCAGCTGTTAATTCAGACAAAACAGTCACCACAATCCGAATATTTTTAAAGAGGATGCATGGCAGGTTGATTTGTTTATTGAGGAAATAGGTGGAGTCACACGTCTGTAGTGTCCAAGGACGAGCTGACCTTGTGATCTTTCAGATCCCACAGCTTATCTTTATTGTGATTTTCTAAGGCAGCTTTCAAGTACTCCTCCCTGTCATATGCTTCATTTAGAGCACCTGTTTTGCTCATCTAAGAGATAGAGGAAGAGAGAAACGTTAAAATAGGCTGCACTGCATAATAAGTGCTGGATGCCGTCACACTTTTGGATTGTGAAGTGGGCTCATCACAGTAGGTGTCATGATAAGGAAGCAGACCCTCCTACCCCACCCCACCCAAGTTTTGACTTTCAGTGCTGGCTACAGGATTCTGGGAGTTGTGGTTTTTAAAAAGGAACTTTTCCAGCCTTTGAGCTCTGTGCACACACATCCCTGATATTTATTCTGAGGCCGTGTCTATGTCACGGCATGTGGAAGCTGGGTGATAAGTAGAACAGAACAGATCAGTGAAGGGTTAAGTGTGTAGTTAATGTGCACCACTAATAGCAAACAATCTTGCCTTGCTTTGTCCTCACAAAAGTGGCCTAGCGTTTATTAAAAGGCTACAATGCCTAGCATTGGGCTGGCAGGCCAAGAGCTGTCTCAAAAAAACAACAACACCCCATATATATATACATATCCAAAATCTCTCCAAGCCTTAACCGTTAAAGACTCAAAAGAAAATACAGTGGTGCCTCGCTTAACGAGGATAATCCGTTCCAGCGAAATCGCTGTAGAGCGAAATCCTTGTTAAGCGAAAATAAAAAGCCCATTGAAACGCATTAAAACCCGGTTAATGCATTCCAATGGGCTGAAAACTCAGCGTCCAGTGAAGATCCTCCATAGGGGCAGCCATTTTCACTGCCTGCAAAGCGAGGAATCCGTCCAAAAACACAGTGGGGAGCCATTTTACACAGCGGGCGGCCATTTTGAAGCCGCCGATCAGCTGTTTAAAAATCATCGTAATGCGAAGAATCGGTTCCTGAAGCAGGGAACCGATTGTCGCAAAGCGGATTTTGCCTATTAAAACATCATTTTGCAATCGCAAAAGCGATCGCAAAAAGTTCATCGTATAGCAGTTTCGTCGCTTAACGAAGCAATTGTTAAGAGAGGCACCACTGTACGTCTTTCCGCACTCACTGTGCTGAAACTTGGTCTACTTGTTTAGCAGAATGATGTGGTAGAAACCTGAAATGACAGTATAGACTGAACTACCTCAAATAGCAGGGATGTATGACTTACTTTCCACATTCCCTCACACATAAAACACTTCTCACAGTATAAAATTTTGAAAAAGACCCAAGCAACCTATAAGCAGCAGGGAGAAAGGCTCTGGTCCAGCCCACTCTCTGCTGTACTAGTCTTGACTTCACTCTGAAGAGTACTGAATACTCTGACTGAAATCAGACGTGGCACAGTGTATTCAACCACCTTTAAACTTTCATCACCTCAGTTCCATCTCATTCTGCCTGGTGTGGAGACTGCAAGGGACCATGAGGGGGATGCTTAGCCTAGACCTTCAGTGCTTTCTGCAACTTCCAGAGCCAACATCCAATAATTAATCCATTCAATAGGGAATGCCATTCACCTACTTAATTCTTAATTTTCCCCTGACTTAACTCTACAGTGTCAACGGTGCTAAACCCTCCAAGAGACAGTCAAGAGAAAAATATTACATGCTTGTTCCATTGCTTGTGGAAGGGGAAAAGAATCTGACCCAGAGACTTAACATATATGTGCCACCATTATTCTGATACCTGCACATCCCCATGTGACCAAATTATTTCCTCTGATTGGTCCACAGGCACCCAAACTGGCTGCCTGATTCTATGAGCATCATAAGTTTCCATGAAGAGTTTCCACTAACCATTCTAACACTTCCTAGTTTCTTCCTTTCCCACAGCGTGGCACACAGAATCTTACCAATTGACCTGCTAGATTCCTATGAGGAGAAGAGCTGTCTCGCCATTCCACCTGCCTGTTGACTTTCAGGCCTTAGATAAGGATACAGTCACAGAAAGACATTCTTTACCTCTGGGGTTGGTGGATGAAGGTCAAATACCATGAATATGACTATTAATTGGCAGGAGTGGCCAGAAGAACATATGATGGAACAACAATAAATTTAGGTCTCCTCACCTTCACTGCAGGAGTGGTGTGTCCGCTCTCCGGAGCATCAACCATGTTCTCATCCAGAGAGTTCAGGCTGTAAAAGAAAAAGCAGTGTGACTGAGATGGGAGTTCTCTGTCACTTCTTTCAGAGCTTGGAAAAATTATTTTTTTATATCAGTTTCCATAATCCACTGCCCACACTGGCTGGGGGATTCTGGGAGTTGCAATCCAAAGCCATAACTTTCCCAAGTAATGCCCCTGTTTGCACATTTCCATGCCACTCATCAACAGGTGCCAAGAGCGTGGTGAAGGGACACACAGAGATTCAAAATGGGAAGCCAGTGTCCTACAGGATTCATCACTGTTCTAAATATCACAATGAGTGAGTGAACACATCCCTTTGGTGGCTCCCCCACCCCCCAAGTACACTCTAGTAGCAAATTTAATCTTATGAGCTACCAATCCTCTAAGATACGCTATCTTTGGAAAACAAATTTTAGAATTTTGTAATTGCCACCTCATTTTACAAAGGAAGGTAAGTGGAAAAGGGAAGTCCTGGAAGTACCTGGCCACTTCAAAGCTGGGGTTTTCCTCAAAGCCAAGGTCCATGGTAGCATCCAAGATGAATCCAAGCACAGGGTTAGCCCTAAGGAAGAACAGTCAACAGGTGAATGTCTCAGCTGCTATAAATGCAATCCATCAGATGATGCCACACCACAAAATAACTGCCTCAGGATGCCCTGACACAGCATCCGTCAACTAAAACACCACAGAGAGTCATGTCATTTGTTGAAGCTGCCAAGGTGCAATTGCGATGTACAAAGATCAGTAGCAACTCCTTACCTCCAGTCAGAGTAGCCTCTTCCTTTATCCTGCTGCCCCACATACAATGGGGCTTGAAGCACCAAGAAGAAAGAAGGAAAACCCTTTCCCCAGAAATTAGCTGTAAGTCTGGACATTCCTAGGAATCAGATCAGGTGGTCCTTTCAACAGCATGCATAGTCTAGTTACAATGTCCCAGAGTCTACACTGATTCCAGTTACATCAGTCTTTTTCCAGATTTGCCTGCAGACCCTGCATGTGTGTGTACTTTGATCACACTGCAAGCTCTGCACAGGCCCAGCTATGCAGACAGAGTTATATAATGTAAAGTAGACACATGTTTGCATGATTTCGATCCTGCAAAAGATGCAACTTGCATCCTCTTTTCTCACATGAAAATGAAAGAGACAGACAGACAGAACCTTCTGCCCTAAATCAAAAACATACCCTTCCTTGTTGTACTGGTTGGTCCCAGGGATACCTGGCCCTTGTTGCACAGCAGTCACTGAGAATGTGGAAGCCACCTTCAGGGCTTTGAGGGCCTTCAGCTTCCTTGTATAACTGGGAAAAAAGAAAGTTGTGGAAGGGGAGAGGGTGAAGGGTTGAGACTTTGCCTGAGAAAGTCCTGATATGAGAAGCCCACAGAGTTGGAAGTGTGTGGAATGGAGTCTTTCCTGGAAAAAAATGGAGCACCACATGAGGGATGCAAATGGCACTTGGGGAGACAGGGCAGGGATTTTTGTACCTTTTCCTCATGCCGATTATTGTCAAGGCCATGACGAGGAGGAGGAGAATCACAGCCCCAACCAGTCCTGCAATAATACCAACCAGCTCATTCACCTTGTTGGGCTTAGTCACCTGCACAGGGCCCTGGAATAAACAAACACCTGCCTTAGCATGTACTCATGCCTGCATTCATGTTTAGGTTATGCTGTGGCGACTGCCCAGGAACACAGAGACCCTCCCTGTACTGGTCCCAGATGCAATGTTATTTCCCAACATGCTCTGTTTCTCTAGCAGGCCTTTCCTCTTATGCACTGGCTGATCCTGGCAGGGTTGAATTGGGGCTTAGAGAATATCAGGCAAAAAGAAAAGGGGAAGAAAGAAGGCAAAAACACTGTTGCACCTTAAAGACAAACTGCTATATTTTAATGTGAGCTTTTGTGGACAAGTCCACTTCCTCTTAGTGGACCTGTCCACTTCCTTCTTCTGGACTTAACTCCTCTAAGTTTGGGAGGAGTTAACGGTAAATACTTACAATAAGTGCCAGGTGAAAACTGAGCAACAGTGACAGTTCCTTGGAGCTATTCTGAATGAGCCTGGAAGTAAAATAGGGAGGAGATTACTAGGAAGCATGCTGTAGGAAGAATGCTTCTTCAAACAAGCATACATCATACAACTTGGGGGTTTTCTGAGGAGCTCAAATTGGGGAAGTGGTAGCAAATTGAATTTCATTTCATTGGCCCATGGCAAGCGTTGACCTGAACCCGTTCCAGCATTAGCCCACTAGAGGGGTACATCTGCCACCCCTCAATAGAGCATAACTCAAAGTAGGATGAGCCATCAGTGGGGATGAGCACAGCAGTTGTGCAGATTCCAAGAGTCTCTGAACGCCGGAAGGCAAGGGGAACCTACAAAAAGGGAAAGATGGGGCAATACAGAAAGGGGGGGGATGGTCACTGAGCAGGAAGAGAGTGAAGTGGAAGAGAGAAGAGAGAGGGTTCAAGCAAGGCTCCTGTAGGCGGAAGGGCCCTGGCATCCAGAGGTTCTCCCTTATTATGTAGTTGTAGAAGAGTCTGTGCAGACATTATAGGCAAAAGCCAAATAGAAATATAAAGTAATAAAAGACAAAAGCAAGCTTTCATGGACAAGTCCACTTCATCAGACCCCTCTCTATTTCTTTCCCTTTCCCTTTCCCTCTGGCTGCCATTTGCCTGGGTGCCTCTGCTCTTCGCTCCCTTAGCAATTTGTCACTTACATGGTTACAAGTTCATCATCTAGAGCGGTGCCATTGCTGTAGACAAAATAGACCTCCATCACTGTCCTACAGGATATAAAATGACAATGTGTGAGAAGGGAATGGTGAAGGGGTGGGAGGTAGAATGAATAGCATGGAACGAAGAACCTTGGCTGATAACACAGTCATCATACCAAAAAAATATTTGGAAAGCCTTTCTCTAGACACATCGCATGATGGAGCCAACAAGATCGTCTGCCACATCATGACGGGCAAAATAAATAAATAAATATCACTCAGGTATCAGTTCAATATCTGAAACTTCAAAGAGCTCAAGTCTCTTCATACATTCTTTACCTCCCTTCCCTTGTTCTATATGCATACAGTATTTTTGAAAGCACCACAACCCTCATCCTGGATGGTACCTGTATCACAGAGCTTGGAAAAATTACTTTATTGGAGGATCTCTAGGCTAGCAAGATCACAGCACCCCCTAGCTGGGTGGAGGGATTCTGGTTGTTGTACGTAGCCCCCAAAAAGCAGCATTTCCATGCTCTGTTATACTAGCCGTTGCTGATACAGCATCTCCAATCTTTCTCCTTCAGACAGTCCGTTCTCTCTGACTTGTCCCTCTTTACTTTTCTGGTCACCTCTCTCTGTCCCAGTCACCTGTCTGCTCTGGAAGCTGATGAGCTGTCTTTGATTGTTGCTATATAGACGTTTGCTTGAGTTGCTCTAATCAGTGACCTGGAAACAACAGGAAGAGGAGACAATATTATAATACCAATACCAATACCAATACCAATACCAATACCAATACCAATACCAATACCACTACCACTACCACTACCACTAATA